CCATCAGCTTGGCACTCATAGTTGCATACCTAAAATTCCTTTTCAAGTATCCTAAGGTACGCTTAGCAGAACAGCAGATATTGTTAACGTGGCTCCCCCATTTTAAGTTATTTTCAATTGTTACACCCAAATATTTATAACTATTCACTTCTCTTAAAGGAAACCCGTTAACTGTGTATACATAAGGGAGAATATTTTTCTTATTTGATATCCTTAGAAGCACAGTTTTGTCAATATTAATTAACATCCCCCATTCTTGGCACCATGACCCAATTTTCTGCAGAGCTCTGTCCAGACTAGTTTGATCCTCGCTAGTTTTAATATCTGTGTAAAGTAGACAGTCATCGGCAAATAATCGTACCGTAATAGAATCGTCAATGGTTTGCGCAATGTCATTAATATATATTAAAAATAAGACCGGACCCAAAACGGAGCCCTGTGGGACTCCTGATGATACTGGTAAAACGCCAGATGCCGTGTTATTTATTTCAACAAATTGTTTTCTTTCCTTGAGGTATGCACTTATCCAATTAACCAATTCCGGGCTGACTCCAATTAATTTAAGTTTTTTTGTCAAGTATTTATGCGGGACTCGATCAAAAGCCTTCGACATATCTAGAAATATTGCGTCCGTTTGTCCCCCGGCATCAATAGATTTGCAGAAGTCGTGAATACATTCACTTAACTGGGTAACCGTTGAAAGTTTTCGTCTAAAGCCATGTTGGTTTTTATAGAGAAGGTTATTGTTTTCTAAGTGGTCGTATAATGACTTTGAGACAATGTGTTCCATTATTTTACAGCTGGTACTCGTCAGTGATATTGGCCTATAATTGGTTGGGAGTAATTTGTTGCCAGCTTTAAAAATAGGCACGACTTTAGCGTATAGCCAGTCGGAGGGAACGGAACTTTGCGATAATGAAGCTTTAAAGATAATCGTTAGATATTTTGAAACCCACTCAGCGTACCGTTTTAAGAATGCGTTTGGAATGTTATCGGGTCCACCAGACTTATGCACTTTAAGTTGCAACAAAAGAGAAAAAATGCCTTCTTCTGAAATAGAAATATCTGTCATTATAGGTCCGTTGTATCCAACACCACCTCTCACATCGTGACCAGGACGTTCAGTCACGTTACTTGAGAACACGGACTGAAAGAAAGTGTTGAATACATTGGCCATAACCTCTGGATCATTGACGACCTCACCGTCAACTTCAAGATTTGATATGGGCTTTTTTGTGGGAGAGAGATAACGCCAAAATTGCTTGGGGTCCGACTTCATGAAATTTTGCATAGTGACAGTAAAATATTTTTGCTTTGATGCACGTAGGCTATCCTTTAATTTATCAGATAAACACGAAATTACTTGCATATTAACCAACATCTTTTTACGCTTTCGCTTTATCTGCCTTTTTAGATGCAGAATTTCCCTGGTGATCCATGGGTTTTGCTTCTTTTTAATTAGCCTTAGGGGAATATAACGTTTAATGCAATAGTTAACTATTCGTTTAAAGTCCTCCCACATTTCATCTACCTGCCTGGGACGCTCGAACTCATACAAAGACATCTCAAGGTAGTCTAAAATGTCAACGTCACTTGCCATCTCATAGTCCCTTACAAACTTTCTAGTACGTTCTTTCGCTGGTCTATCTGAATTCAAATGACAAGTCACGCTAACTAAGTCATGATCAGATAGCCCTTCGTATACTGAAACTTCATAATCTGATAGGCCGCTACTCAAAAATACCAAATCCAAAGTTGTGTCAGCAGATCTGCCGTGCCTGGTACTCCGATTGACAACTTGTGTGAAATCAAAATTAAAAGCGAGGTCGAGGATAATTTCGGAATGTTTGGTATCGCTAGTACCTGGTGCAAGTTTTTCCCAACAGATGCCCGGCAGGTTGAAGTCGCCTGCTATTACAACATGTGATTTATGTTTAATATTCGCTTCCACGTAATCATACAACTTTTCCATGAATGATATAGGTGCACCTGGTGGACGATATACAGCAGCGACAGTGATCAGCTTACTGGGCCATGTAATTTGACAAAACAGACTTTCGTGGTCTGGAATTTGATTGAGCAGGGGGCTACACTCAACATGAGACTTGACTAGGATCGCCACGCCACCGCCACGTGACCCTCGGTCTCTTCGGTGTACCTTATAATTCAATGGAGTAATCTCATTATCATCAATATCACTATGTAACCAAGTCTCGGTGATGACAACAACATCAGGGCCATATGATAACAAAATATGTTCAAGTTTGTCGACTTTATTTACTAAACTACGAGCGTTCAAGTTTATCAACAAGAAGTCACGATTGACGGATCGACTAGGCTGTCATGCAGGTCGTTTGTCTCGCGTTCTTGAAACTTGAGAGCGACAGTTGTTTTCAGCGTCCCAGCGGTACAATGCGTCATCGATTTGTATCTTATCATTGAGCAGCCTGACTTTCGAACCGCTCTCTTTATCTGCCTTCGCGCTTGCCCATAGAAGTTTTCGTATTCCCAGCGTTTCTTTCGAATAGTCGTTCGATACAGAGATGTTTGACCCTTTTAGCTTGGAACAGTTACGTAGGACCTCCATTTTTTCGTTATAATCATATAATTTCATGATAACCGGCCTAGTGTTGTTACCACGTTTAGCCCCCAACCTATGAATTCGTTCAACAGACTGCACTCTTACCCCTAATCGTTCGAAAAACAGGTTCTTGATAACCTTATCTTTTATGTCTTTTTCTGTCTCATTTATCATCTCAGGAATACCGAATACCAGAAGATTATTCTTGCGGCCCCTATCTTCCAGATCAACTAACTTTCCTTGAATTTCTTTCACGGTGTTCTGTAAACTATAAACAACTTCGTCGCAGACTTTCACGGCCTGGAAGTCATTTTCCAACCGTTGTATTCTTTCAGAAAGTTTTTCAAACTTATCCTCGAGTCGAGCCTGATTTTCTTTAACGTCCTTAATCTCTCTAGTTATGACAGCTTGTCCTTGCAACAATTTTTCAAGCGATTCTTCAACAGTCGTTGGTCCGGGGTTTTGCTCTACATCTCCCGAAAGCAGCAAAAGGAGCATCTTACAACATTCTGACATCTCATGGAAAACAACTTGAGGGCACGGCACGACAACAATAAATCTATTGCTTGTTTTTAGGCTACCGTCACAGCAATACACACCAACCTGATTGATGACAAAAAGAAGGGGCATGTCAGCTGTGCGCTTGACGATGTTGCCGTGCCCTCTGAAGGAACTGGTAGTGGCCGCGTCCCTTTTGTAGGCGTTCGGGAGTGGTGGCGCCATCCGTTGTGACGTCGCATCCGTTCCAGGCAAGTAAGGTAGTTCCAGCTGATGCGGCACGTGCAGCAATCTTGTGGTCACTGCGATGTCGGTCGGCGAGCATGACGAAGCGGCTGCCACTGCGCTACACAGCAACACCTGATTGATGACAAAAAGAAGGGGCATGTCAGCTGTGCGCTTGACGATGTTGCCGTGCCCTCTGAAGGAACTGGTAGTGGCCGCGTCCCTTTTGTAGGCGTTCGGGAATGGTGGCGCCATCCGTTGTGACGTCGCATTCGTTCCAGGCAAGTAAGGTAGTTCCAGCTGATGCGGCACGTGCAGCAATCTTGTGGTCACTGCGATGTCGGTCGGCGAGCATGACGAAGCGGCTGCCACTGCGCTACACAGCAACACCTGATTGATGACAAAAAGAAGGGGCATGTCAGCTGTGCGCTTGACGATGTTGCCGTGCCCTCTGAAGGAACTGGTAGTGGCCGCGTCCCTTTTGTAGGCGTTCGGGAGTGGTGGCGCCATCCGTTGTGACGTCGCATCCGTTCCAGGCAAGTAAGGTAGTTCCAGCTGATGCGGCACGTGCAGCAATCTTGTGGTCACTGCGATGTCGGTCGGCGAGCATGACGAAGCGGCTGCCACTGCGCTACACAGCAACACCTGATTGATGACAAAAAGAAGGGGCATGTCAGCTGTGCGCTTGACGATGTTGCCGTGCCCTCTCACACTTTTAGTCCGGTTATTATGGACAACTCACATTATGGACGTTTTGTGTGTGTGTGTGTTAGAATGGATGTGTACATATTAACGGAACATTACTGTATTGAGCACAGAAGCGAAAGGTATGGCCGAGCCGAAGCACTGTTTGCTCCCTTATTACGGCGGTGGTTAAACATCAAACGTCACGCATCCTCAAGAAGACTTGTACGGTATTCGTCGAGGAATCACTAGCTTTTTCGAGCAATTTTGTAATCGTTTCATTGCCATATGCAGAAATCACAACATATCTTTGATTACTCTTGACAGTAAAAAAAAAAAATTACTTGTAATCGTTGCTATTTATACTCCTCTTCCCAACCTCGCTCCTTCTGTCCGCAACCTTCCTGCCAACGAACCCTCGAACCGAGTTGTCTGACATGAGGACGCGGCCCACTGAAAATTTTTGATTTAGAAGAGGAGTAGTTTGTACTACGGTTATCCTATTCTAATCATGAACAGCACGAGAGGAACGTTTTCAACCGGGCAGATAGATAAGCCGTTCTCCAAATCTATAGTGGGAAAACTAACGGTTACTGTTTGTCAAGTAACGGTCAATTCCTTTTCTTGTTAGGTAGACAAGTAATCTGAATTAATCGTATGTTACCGAGAGTAATAGTAATTATAACTAATTACTTCTTTATTTCTGTTTTAAAAAAGGTGCCTGAAGTCCTAGAGACTAAAATGATGTAGCACGTGGCGTCACAATGTCACCTTACCCGTGTGTTGGTCGAGCGTGTCACCTTTCTGATGAAACTCAGTCCTATAACAGATTCTGTCTTAATGAAAGCGATGTTACCCTTAGTTGGTTAGGGATCTTCTCCGACAATCGCCCTGACACGAACGTTCCGGAAATTTTTGGGACATTTGCCAGTTCAGCTGAACAACTCGATAACTTCATACGTATCATGTTTCATGCCTAAACGTCTGATTACCGAAACAAAACACTGCGCAGCGACGAAGTGTCGACAGACCAGGACAATCGGGTGGAGATCCTGGACGACGGTACCTTGGTCATCCACTCCTCGAGGATTGAAGACATTGGCACGTACAAGTGCAGAGCCGAAAACGCTGCGGGTCACGTGGTGTCCCGAACAGCCTATCTGCGCTTCACGAGCCCTACACTCTCCGCCGTCGACGACAGACAAGGTAAGGTACACATTAGTTTACGCAATGACCTCCGACAGGTGGAACCCTGGATGTTTGTGCGTTTACGACCGGCCGCAGTGGACGCCACGAGCCATCCCAGCCAATCCCAACTCTATAAACTAGCACGTGACTACGCTTTCCGTACGTCACTGCTACCAATCTACAAGGTCACGTGCCCCGCTGGCCTCCACCAGAAGGTGGCTACAAAATTGTGAGCTTAAAAAACTCAGCCTGTGGCTGTTGTGCTCACGATTCTTGCCTTGTGGTTTGATCGTTGGCGTTGTTAACGACGAATGCCCGAATTCCACTTGCTGATGAGCGATAATGAGATGCGGGGGAGTCGCGCGACCCAACACACCAATTGTTTCTTAAGTTGTCGGGGTCTAGATCAAGTGCTGCTCTGGTATGTGTGTGTGTGTGTGTGTTTCTGTGTGTGCGTGTGCGTGTGTGTGCGTATGTGTGTGTCTGTGTTTTTTTGTGGCAAGGTGAAAAGCTTTTGCTGCTTTACTGATTAAATCTCAAGTTGGAGTGTCAGTTCTTGTAAAGAGCGAACCGTGCTACCACCTTATCCCACCTAAGAGACGCTTGTTCCAACTCTTATTCGAGACAGTCTCGGTCACTGCCAAGACAGAACAGCGAGGGATCGCATGAGAGGTGGTCCCTTTCGTTACCGCTCGATCGATGCATTCGGCGATCATATCTTTCACAAGACACTTTTTTTAACACACTGACGACAGGAAGATACATTTTTCTTGTCTCGTGCTTGGAGAGCAGCCGCCACGTGTTTCCCAGATGCCTGAGCAGTTTGCGCGTGCACAGAATCTTACGCTTGGTGCAATGCGGAAAAAGACTGATGAAACGAATGACTTGAGGCGCTATATCTTACTCACTTAGCTTGTTACTTCATCCGATGAAGCAGCCGACTAATTTACAACTTCTGGAACATTAAGCTTATGAAGAGAACAACCCAGCATCTATTTAGTAGACTCAAAAGACTCCTCACGCAAACAAAGAGCGAAAGCGGGGGAGAAAAAAGACTCTACGCATGCCAGATCACAACAAATACTGACCAATGAGACGGGCTGCTAGTTTAGAAACTGATATCATTCGATCGACATTCTGTTCAATTGAAGCTACTAAGAACGACCGAGAAAGCTTTTTGATTAATTAAATTAAGCCTTCAAATTCCTCTAGTGTTCACACACAAACTTGTTTCGACTTAAAAACTTGCTTCAAAGATTCGTACATTCCCATTATTCGAGTATTTCGGTGAATGCACCATAATGTAAACGAGATCTAACTGGATATATTCAAGCCGATTTTTTCAGCGTCACCAATGTATCGGTTCGGTTTGTGTGACTCATTCTTCAACATAACTCTGCACATCCTTGCTCTGATGAATGAGACCACATTTTCAACAACTATCAATAACCAGCTTGTTTTCGCAAGCTGTTAGGAGGCGATGTGCGCGTCAAACCAGTTCATAGCGTTATCGGCGTGTAGTATTCTAGAACGGAGACTTGACGTGCTCCGGCGCGAGCCATTCCCAGTTCAGGACCACCATCGGAGTCGTTCGTCAAAATCGGCCGACATAGTCCAAGAATGTACGGTGGTTCAGATTTATACAAACAACGAAATGTTCCGCTACGTGAATGCGGAACCCTTTCAACAATGTTGGACTCACTACAAAGGGCACATTCCTACTTCTTTTTCGTATGTTTTGTTTCTACGCTACTCTTGACCCCCAACGAACGACTGATCCCGTTCCTCGATCAGGGAACCTCGACACCCGGGCCCGGCTCCCGCTATATTCTTACTTCCTTGTGTCTTTTCCTCTCGTATTATGTTACCGGACCCAACGAACTCCTCGAGAGTCAATTACGATACATGTTACCGCGAGACACGCATTGGGCGGGTGGGGGGCTTCATTGAAATATCAACCACGCCCACAAGACTCTTACTGCCCCGTGTTCTTGTTTCTTCCATTCTGTTACCTGACCCTGCGAACCTCGAGAGAGTCAATTAAGATACATGTTACCCCAAGATACGCATCAACAAGGAAGGGGGTTCATTGAAAGCCGCCCACACTGACCGCGGTAGCAGCTACACCCCCTTTTCACCTTACGATGGACCACAGCGGACTCTACGCTCCATTCTAACTAACCCAGGCCTGCGAACGTACCGCGTGACCACGTGATACGTTCACAGAGGCCATCACAAAGTCACGTCACATGACTAGGCTAGGTAGTGACGTGAAACTCACGCAGCATTGAATTGTCTTCGGTGGTTCTTTACAGCGTTGCCAGCGGTCCATCGTTAGGTGAAACGGTGTATAATTCCCGTTAACCCTAAGCTGACAGTACTGTAATGGCGGCCACGCGCTCCCCGAGCCAATCAACCCCCTCCCTTTCATCAGCTGACCCTGCTCTCTGTGCGTGTACATGGGCCCCAGACGTGATCACGCGTCAAAAGAGCGCCATATGACTGGTCCAAGAAGTATACATAGCCTCCACCGCACTGTCAGCTTATTAGGGCGAAATACGGTATAGAAACCACATACTGCGCATTGTTCTCCGTTTCACCTTACGATGGACCGCAGTGGATGCTATGAGCTATCCTAGCCGCACCGGCGCTGAGAACACGTCACGTGACCACAAACGTCGCTGCGCCCCCGTCGGAACCCACGTGACGCTCACGCGACTGTTGACTGGCTTCGGTGGATCCTGCAGCGTCCCCTGCAGTTCATCGCAAGGTGGAAAAAAACGTAGCGAAGTGCGGTAATCGTCCATTGTGTTCTAGAACGCTCACGAAGGACGTTCCTTCCCGCGCGGGTCGTCCCTACCCTGCTATACCGCACCCCTTTTGCAGCCCAGAAGCCCCGCATCGTCACGAAGCCGTCCGACGTGTCGGTCACGGCAGGCCGCAGCGTCACGATGCGATGCCAGGCCGCGGGCAGGCCGACTCCACAGGTGACGTGGACGCGCGACGGGCTTCCGCTGTTCCAGAACCCCCGGTACCACGTGTCCCGGACGGCCGGCACGCTCATCATCACGGCCACGGACCTGAGCGACTCCGGCAAATACATGTGCACGGCCAGCTCGCTCCTGGGCGAGGAGAGCGCAGCCGCTGTGCTGCGAGTCGAACGTGCGTTGTGGTTCCTCTCTTTAGTTGCATTTTAAGTGCGCGCATCTGAAGGAATAAAATGAGCCGTTCACTTTTCTAGAAAACATATGTGAGATAACCGTCATGCAGAACGCGGTCACAGCCACACAAGGCGAACAATACAATGACCCCAGTGATTGACAAACTCGCAAAATGATTCTCTTTGAAAAAAAGAAATTCGATGTGTGACAAAGAACAAGTGAAACGTCATGCATTCCTTTGAACATGGCGCTTTTGGGATGTAATCTCACTTTTAGCTTCGTTATTCGAAGTATCTATTGTTCGCCGCGTTTGACTGTATCGGTGTTCAAAAGGAATTAAACGCACAGACAATACTTAGGTTGTAGTTCCCTTGTTTTACCACCTTATTTTGTCATTGATGTAGTCCGACAATCCCGTCACGCGGTAGTCTGCAATTAACTGGTCACCTCTTTCCACGCTGTCTTCTCGCCCTTCTTGAAGGAGTGTGACGCATAGGTCCATGCGTTGTTTGCCTAGGGTGGGAATTTTGAGCAGGACGTACACAGAGGACAGTTTTAAGCCACTCTAGAAATATCGAAATGAAATAATAACTTAAATAAACAACGGTTCAAGTGACGCCCCACAAATTCGCTTGTGTATGGAAAATGTTATAATACAAAACCTACTATCACAATTAAAAACCTTGAGACCAAGAAAACAAAGGGCACACACCACCCTCTGAAAACCAGCACTGCACACAGCAGTTATTTTTTTCTTCACATCATTCTTCTTTTGACATATTTCATCTGTTTCTCGTTTTTTTTTTTTCTATTGATATTTGTTTAAGCACAAAAGAGCGGTGAATTCATGTTCGGGCAATTCTGAAATTCTGAGAAACCTGAGTGAATGTATCAATTGTTTTCCAGATTGAAAGTAGGCGACAGTGTTTAGGAAAAATAATATAAATTTAAAAGGGTAAATAGGGAGACAATTAGGATTACGAGCGACAGAATGAGCGACGGTATGTGTATTGGCATGCACTAATTGACCTTAAACCGCGATACTGCATTTTTTTTCTCCTCTGTCTGGTTTACGTAGATTGTGACGCGGCCGTTTGTGTATTTTCTGAATGGTGTTTGTCTCTCCGGCACTCGTCAACCGGAAAACTCCTCCAGACCTTAGTCCGAGTGTTCGAGACTTTCTCGGTGTAGTGGATGTGCCTGCCGCTGAAATGTTTGTTGTACAGATGAAATACGGCAAATAAGAAGACTTCTGTAAAAGTAAATGACAGCGGTATGCTGTGCTGGTTATGAGACAATGGGGTATACGTCCTCTTTTTATGTTTCCTTTTTTATCGAGGTTCCGAACTATGATTGTGCACCACCTCGCGTGGATTTGACTCTTATTTCCAAACCTACTAATCAATATACTGAATATCCATAACCAGAGGTAAAAAAATAATTACAATATTTTTTATGCGCATTATTTTTGCAAGTTGGACTGTGCTTTACTTTCTGTACAGCTAATGTTCAGATTCCGCAGTTTACTTACTCACTTGTTCGCCTAACACTGTTCATAGCACTGCATGTGTCGCCCTCAGTCGCGGATCGGATTGGCATATTGCCCAAGAACGTCGCGAGTTGCATCATCGCATTACGCAAGATGTGGCTCATGCATTCCTCTCTTAGGCAAACACATATATCATCTTTACACGACTCGACAACAGACGCGACCGCAAAACCGAATCTACGCAAAAATCGCTGCTGCTTGCGCGGGCACCCTTCAGCGCAGTCACTTTTTTTTTGGTCCGCGCTTTGTTTTCGTCTTTGTCTGCCACTGCTGAGTCAAAGGGAAACCCAGCCTTGTACCGGCAGACGAGAGTTCCCTGGTCCGATGGTTTACTTCTTTTCTCTTGAGCGTGCGCGTGAGTTCGCTCGAGCTTCCGAAACCCCGTCCGATAAAACGGGACTCTTTCGCGCTTCGCTGCTCTCTGCACCGTTAAGTCACGGCGGTCGTGGTCACCCAGCATCGAAGCACGACGAAAGCCCCGACGAACCGCATTTGACCGCGTCCGGGTTTTTACCCGATTCCACGGGGCGCTGAACTCAGATATCTGGCTCAATCGGCAAAAGGCTCCAGACTTACTTTAATTTACATTGTTTAAGCGTGCGCTTTCTTTTCTTTTTTTTTTTTTCAAACAATCTTCACATTTTTTTTTAAATATCTTCCTAACGTGTTATTCTTAACACTAGTTCGCGTGCTATAGATGTATATAATTTGGAATTTGTTTAACGGTGGGGGCAATCTAAAGCGCCGGATTATACAAGTAGTATAGTCCACCTTAATATTGTAGGCCTATACAAGGATTGGTTTTCCAAGGTCGTCCATGTATGACGAAATGTCAAGCATTTTGTGAATAAGAGGTTATTATATTGATGTTTTAGGTACGATTCATGTTTATTTCTGTACTAATAAAGCAGGTATTTTTTCTAACGCGCTGTGCATTATACTTTTACGTGCAAGATGTCCACCTGGTCTGGACTGTACACCGAGCATGGACTATGCACCATGTGCGGACTACATTCAAGGAAGTACGCTAATTGTACGAAGGATTTTATTCGCGAAACTTCCGACAAGTTCCCCGTCGCAAGTTGCGAATGAGTTAGAAGGAAGCGCGTAGCAATTCCAGGTAAATTTACGCGTTTCTAGATATATTTTGAGTTCACACAGATTAATGAATCTCCTACTTGGCTTCCGTGGAAGAACCGATTGTAAACAAAACCAATAGAAACCATGCATATAGTACAAATTAGACAAATGTTAAAATCCCTCGTATGCACAAGCGACTAAATCACACAGATTACATTTGTACCTAAATAAAGCTTCTAGAGCTAGGCTATTTTCTATAAAATATGTCTACACCATAAAAAAATTAAAAGTCTTCAACCCATATTTTTATTTAAATGCTTCATGATCCCGCTCTACTACTGTAACTGCGTAATGTAATGGTGACGTTTCTTCATCACTCTACATGTATGGACATCCTAAAGTGCGGTCCTTCCTTGGGCCGCCTTTCGACTGTGCAACACTGATTCTCTCGGCTTCATAAAACTGTTGCTTGTGTTCCTTCATTAGTCGCACCATACTTTATTGAGTCCCCGAGAGAGCAAGACGTCCTAGAAGGAGACAACGTTGAGTTCATCTGCCACGCCGGAGGTTTTCCAGCGCCACAACTTTCATGGTATAAAGACGGTAAGTCATTGTTCTTGACATAGGCAATTTTCGATACTTTTTTCACCTGTTACCTGGCAATGCCCAAAGAGATTGTATGGAAATTTACAAAATACAATTCTCCCATATGAGAACTTACTTTGAGTTAAACGTGTTAATACTGAAAAAAAAGTAAAAACCCCTTAGTTTAAAACAGCATCAATAATCGACAGGTTCAATGACCATAAACGCTTTGTAAAATGTTTGAAACCTTACTCCGACGCTCTAAAACGCTTAAATAAATGGTGGTCCCATTGTGCTTTGTCACTGAGTTTTTTTTTCCTTAGTTTTAATTGGGAAGAATGACATAAAACGTCCAAAAGTGACTCACACTGAGAAGTTGTCACGTCCCTTTCGATTTTTTTTCATTAGTTTTGATTGGGAGAAATGGCGTAAAACGTCCAAAAGTAACTCACACTGAGAAGTTGTCACGTCCCTTTTGATAAATTCTCTCAGTTATATTTTATGTGCGTTAATTCTTTTACGAATCTTCACGCTATTTGCACTTCCTGTAACGTGAGATTCAATAATGCGGCAGAGTGACTGAAGCCGTTCCTGATAATGTAACATAAGATATGTCGGTATTTTTCCGAAAACCGGGGAACTGCAAGCTGTCAAACTATTACGATTTTTTTAGGTCAGCGCCTGAAAGCTGATGGAGTGCATGTAAAGAACCTGCACGGCGGTAAAGTCATCAAGTTATACAATGTGCGACGGCAGGAACAAGGTGTCTACACGTGCCACGCCCAGAACTCCCTTGGTTATGCTGAATCTCACGCGGACCTTCTAGTCAGCTCTAAAGGTGAACATTCTTACTTCCGTATGTGCAACCCAAATACTTTACCAGGGATAATTAATCCCGCTCCACTCATTGGCTTCAGGTAACCTACCTATAGAGCCAAATTCTCCCCTAATGGTATGGGCAATGGACATCCGAGTGGATCAACGAGGTTAGGAGCTTAGAGCGATAAACTGGCATCCCGTTCACCAGGTAAAAGTGACCCGCACTTGGCTGCCTCCATGTTGTACAATTTTGACCCCCAGACACGTGACCGTACCAAATCCTGAAGCTTTTACACAAAACAGAGCCGAGATTTGTTTTGCGATCGCTGTAAAAAGCACGATAAACTACTTTTCAATACTGTTAGCCACAGGGATCAGTGTCTAGCTCCGATAAAAACACAAAATACACCACCACGGCTTGTGGCATCTAGCGGAGGCATTGCGAAGCTCCACGAGTGTTTGTCGGAAAAGCACCATTTTGAACTTAAAACAAATAAAACATATCTTATCTCGTCGGGACTGTTATTAAAGATCAATAAGCAATTATTTGTGGGCGGTACTTGGTTAAACTCTGGACGTAAAACTATAAGGTCACGTCTCTAGTGGTCAAATATGTGCAACATGGCGGCGGCCAATTGGGGTCACTTCCAGCTGCCAGTTTTCGCTCTAAGGCCCTCTACCTCTTTGAAGTGAACGCATGTGCGGAGAACTGCGCGTGACGTCGCACTGCCGGGAGGTACTGAGAGAGCTACTACCAGTGCAGCGAGATCACTGGTTTGCCAAGACATTCTGGAAGCGATGGCTGCACTGTCAACACTTCGTTCCCCCTTAATTCCGGACGCAGCCGACGAGCTAAATGGACCAATTAGAATTCGTCGAAAGCGCACCATCATGGTATTATTTATATGCCTGTACGAATTCTATCACCGCTAAACCAATCAGGCACAAAGAAGGCCCAGTGATAACCGGTGCTTTTGACTCTTCTCGATTGGGCCCGTTTGCTCATAGCTGAAACGAAGTATAGTGCTCGGATACCCACGACGATAGATGGCGCCCACCACCTTTCCCAATTCATAAGGGTTCGGAGCATCTATAGTCGGTTACAAGTCAAGAAGGTAGGAGAAGCTCCTCCCACAAGTGTGATGCGCCCGTTTCAAATGTCTCCGCAGTCGAAAGAAGAGTTCAATGAAAACGCTCCTTGTTCCGCTTCAATGGGTTCCAACTTGTCTCTGATGCCACTTTTTAAGAAAACGACCTTTGTATTCATCGGAGAGGGAACCGAGCCCCTGAAAGCAGCCTTTGTATCCATCGGGGGGGAAGCTAATCCCCGAAAGCCGTATTTGTTTCCGTCGGTGGGGGAGAACTCTAATCTCCCTCTCGTGGCTTCCACAATGCTAAGTCAAAGTCGAAAGATAAAGCAAATATGTACAGAAGGGCAAGACCCTCCTCGCGCGTTGGCCGCGACGTCACGGAAACGGTGGGACGCTATTGGATGCGGAGGTGGCGGAGGGATATCTGATTCCCTTTGAGGGGCATTTGCCGCTACCTTCTTAACCTGTAACTGACTATAGCGGTTTCACGTTCAGCTACACAAAGCCGGTCTGCACAAGGCCACTGGAGTTACCAGAAGCAGTACAAGCTCCTCGTACAAGGCCCTCCACTCTTTCTGCTTTGTCAGAGCGAACACTGTAGAGGAAGCGACTGAGTAGACCCGCCATCTATCTGCTCGCTCCGCTAAACTAGAAAGTGTGTTAGGCGTTGGTGTAGAGCTTGTCCGGCTTCTATTTTATCTCCAACAGTGTATAGTGGAACATTTTGGTTTACCTGCACCCGTATATGGGGCGAAGAGAGACGTCACTGTGAGAAGTCATGCGGTCAGTTTCTGAAAGAGCGAACGCGTGTTTGCGATAGAGCCGTTTTTAAAAGTCGAAAAACAATAATGGCGGTCGCCATTGCTTGGACACGAACCGCGTGATCCGACCTGAGTCATCTCCAAACGCTGACAGAGCGCTCGCGTCCAATACGCGCTCAGAGTACATGAGCGAGCAATGGCGGACAGGCGTTCGCGCGGAGTGTTGAAAAGGGTCTATTGAGGCTGGCGGCACCATTTAAGAGCAGTCACCCTTGCCTCCCTTCGCTGGTTGAAATAAATAATAAAACATCAAAGGTTAGAGAATACGCCTGAATTGCGCAGCAGTATGCGTACAGGAAATCGTAAGGGTATACTGCGTCACTTCGTTAATAGTAATGAGCAAATAATCAACCTATCGATCGATCGATTAATCGATCAAACAAGCAATCAATTTTATTCGGTGTCCATGAAAAACCACTCTCACATTAAAAGATAAAACAAGGAAATTTTAACCATACGCGTTTTGGCCTCAAGGAAAAAGCACGTTTCGCGCATTGTTCATACGCCGCACGAAGTAGTTCTTACAAGATTTCGTTGTAAGGGAATGAGGTGATGCTTTTGGCGTCAGAAACCTGTACGGCTTGATAAGATAACGCTTGTCTAATCTAAAATTCAACTACATATATCTTAATCCTAAAGACAAATGTGGAAATTAGTAATGCTGCGCGAAGAGCAGAACTCTTTTTACTACGGTTCTTGAGGTGAAAACGAGTATAGACAAAAACACGCAAATATCAGAATTAGTGACACATAAAATTATAAAGTAAATATTTACGTTGGAGATTCATACGCCAGTTAACAGTGAAGATGATGTATATATTCGGGAGAGTACATCACGCCGAGAGAAGTAAAAAGAAATTTTAAAATTACAAAGCTTATTCCGATTATTTATGGCCATGTAGCCCTCATACCACTTGTAATGATTAGAAGGTAGTTCAAAAGCGATCGTAAAATGTCGGTTACTGCTTCAAGAGTAAAACAACGTGTCTTCAAAGTCACAAAGACGAGTAAAAATTTGTTTGCGATTCACTATAAAAATTTGTCTGCAATTCAACAAAACTGCCAATCGCGACCGGCCGGCTTGTTAAAGCTCAGGCCGGACATTAAAAAAAAAAGAAATATACAACTCTTGCCGATCCAAGCACGGAAGTAAAGCCGACGGAGCTACGCTTTTATGTAGTAATAATACGTTTATTGCAGTTTTTTGTTTTTTTTTTAAGCTTACAGTGTATTCGGTCCGACGAAAGCACTTCTCTGCTTATGTGTGAGGAGAGACTTCGCTTGCCGCGACCAACACAGAGAAACAACAAGGAATCGCGTGCATGCAACCGCATGGGAGTCCGTCCGAGAGCCATTGTCATTGATGGCAATGGCTTTTTGTTTTAGCGAAGACCATCACTCTAAAAACCGAACATCAGTTGAACTCCTAGCGGATTATTAACACCGAATCACGCAAACAGTAGAAGTATACGACCGAATGGAGCAGCTCGGAATACAATTAGATTAGAGACACGCGATGCGCAAATGGGAGCGGCGGTTTCACTGGCTCAGTGTCGCTCTACACATCGCATTTGTCAGACCTCTTTGATGCGTCATTTGCAGGAATCCCTCTCTTGCCCCCCGTCATTTGCCGTCTCCGTGTTCTGCAACAACAACAAAACTCGAATACTTTTCTTTTGCATTTGTTATATATAAAAAAAAAAAAAGTGCTTTCTTTTTTGAGGCCGGCCTTCCTATCTGGGGAACTCGCCATGGACGTATATGTGTCATCAGATGTCCGCAAATGTACACTCAATGGCTGGGCCTTACCGCATATCAGAGGCGTGAAGGCTTCTATACTTCGTTTCATGTTAAGTGTGAGTTCAGCTGGTGGCACGAGCCGACGGACTAATGAAGCAGCGCGAATAACGCATCGTCCCGGCGCTCGTCTCATATAGGCCAATATGCCTACATGGTCGGGACTCCTCAAGACCTTCGGTCTCTTACAGCCATGCCACACCTGATGACGGCTCCTTCGAACACGGAAGCCGACCAGGGCTCCACCGTGGAGGTGTTCTGCGTCGCTGAGGGTCACCCAACGCCCACAGTGTCCTGGCGCAGGGAGGGCAAGGCCATCGGAGACACACCGCGCCGCAAGATCACCCGAGACGGGAGCCTCGTGGTCATCGGACTCCGTCCCGAGGACGAGGGCCAGTACGAGTGCGTCGTCGAAAACGAGATGGGTCAACTGGTTACTCCGTTCTACATCCTCGTCAGAGGTGAATGTGATTTCCATATACCTGAGAAACAAATCGTTTTTTTTTTAATAGGATGGACATTATATTGCAATATTTCAACGAAAATCCTTGCACGAGTGATTTGGGTAAGTTTGCCATGACGCGAGACAATATTTTACAAGGACTCGAAAGCGAAGTGGAAACCAAAAGTAATACAAAAGATATGCGACAGATAAGACTGTGATCACGCAACGCATACACCATGCTGATATTTCTTTTTTCTTTTATTTTTATACTTCGCCTGACTATACAGTGCTTACCAAACTTCTACGGAGCACGCGAACATAATATTGTTTCATACAATGTCGATCCTGGCGGCAGCCGGTCAACGGATTCGTCACGTGGTAATCAACAAGCCATACCGAAGCGCTACGTGAAGTGCTCAATTTCCTCTAGGATAGTGACTGTCATAAAAACGCATTGAGTTCGCGTACACCGAAATAGATTGTAAAGCCACGCATAGCCTCCTCTGTACACTCTAAAAAATAAAAGCTGTAGCACTTACACCCGTTGCCACATACACTGTTAGCAAAACTAACACGCCCAGACGTGTATACCGTTGTCCCATAGCGGACACGTCGAAACGTGTTCGTTTTACACGAGGCCATCTGTGTTTTTCGTCTACACATGAGGTGCTGTGTAAACTTAACACGCTACACCGTGTCTGCCTTCCGCAAAACCGTTTCGAGCGTGTTCCTTATGAAACATGGCGGCCAGCGGCCGAGAACAGGCGAGAGACGAGCCCAGCGAGCCGCGCGCCATTCAGCCGAATTGAAAGCACACAGGGCGCGTTAGTTCTCGTTCGATGTCTTTTATACACAGTAAAGTCTCCAAGCGGCGGACGTAGCTACTGGCAAAGGTACGTACGTGCGTAGTCGGCGGTCGGCGGCGTCGGTAGCTCAACGAGGTAGAGGGGCTCAGAGCGATAAACCGGGGTTCCGGTCTGCACTCGAAAGTGACCCCCATAAGGGAGGCTGCCATTGTACGCAAATTTGAACACACGTCACATGACCAAACCAAATACGTGACGTCACAGGAAAGATGGCAGCGCCCATGCAGCGGCTGGCCCCAGCTGGGCCGGAGCTTGTCGGATACTTTGTTGGTTGTCGTTCGTCTCGGCGAGTTGATTTCAGACGCGGAAGCCGTCATATGAGGCCGGTCGAAAGCGAGTTCAGAGTTCAACGTGGTGTTTGACGTAGGTATCACGTGAAAATGCGGAGGAACGGTGTGCATTTCGCTGGTGACCGACCGGGATATTGCCACGGAAGAGACAATCTGACCTACGTTGCTCGGACCTCGGATTGATTCGGATACCGCTAGGATAAAATTTAAGGCGACGTTTCAGTGCTCTCGTTGACCATCGGAATCTTCGAGGTTTTCAGCGAAGCGTGTGCAATATATTTGGATACACAGTTTAGCGACGGAAATTGCGTGAGTAGTGCTTGGCGGTGTGCAATCGTGGTGCAGCTTCGATCAAATGACCGAGGGCTTACTTCGGTTGTGCGGCGCACCGGAAGGCTGCCTTGAAGCTGGTAGTTCCCGTGCCGTGCTGAATGATGCTGTGCTGCTTACAAATTGTTCCGGCGTAGAAGTGCACTTTCACGGAGCACAGGTGTGCGGCGCACCGAAGAGCTGCCTTCAAGCTGGTAGTTCCTGTGCCATGCTTTAGGTGATGCTGTGCTGCTTCCGAAATTGTTCCGGCGTAGACGTGCACTTTCACGGAGCACAGGTGTTGCAGTTGGTATTGATCCCGCTGGTCTGTCGCACGTTTCGTCAACACAAACGTTTCATCCACACTCGTTACGCGAATTGCAAGCTGTCCGGACATTGCATCGAGCGTGTTACGTACCCAGCTCACGCCGCTTTGTGGCAACAGTCTGCAGTGGCTCATTACCAGAAAAGTGGTCCCACATCCATTTCAGTTCAGTTCGTCCACGGCAGTCGCCAAACCCCGAAGGAGAGGATTTATTCGGACAGAATGCCACTAAAGCAATGCAGCTTCTTCAGTGGTCAGGATAGATTCTCTTCTGCGAGTTTTGTTATACTGTCACGGATCCTTGTTCCAGTCCTAGCTTCTATCAATATTCACTATTCTGGGACACTGCAGGTCATGCTCAGCAGTAATCGTATGTTCTGGTAGAGGTGCTGGGCACCCATAGCCCTTCACTCTGTGTGAACCCGGCGGCTCTTCAGCCGAGTTACTCGATAATGGGACACGGCTGGCGGACTATCCTGCGTCTTACACCCCCGTCGAGCCGTGAGCAAAGTCCTGACCCGATCCTGGCAGAACAACCGCAAGACGACCGAATACCACAAAAAGTAACCTCGGAAATACACCACGAAGCACCTGAAATCCGAGCCAGTTGCTGCTACCAGGAAAAACCACCGGAATTCGGTCTCCTGTCAGAAAATCCGAAGCTGACTAAGCCAACAATGACAAACCTGTAGCAGCAAACCGTGTCCCCTCCCACCATTGTTTGCATGCCCGTCGCAAATCACACTCCGACGCTTTTTCACGCAAGGTGTATGAAGACGTCAAGGACTGGATTGAACAATATGACAGTGTCGCCCGCCACATTGGGTGGACAGACAACCAGCTCCTGCAGAACCTATACTTCTCGTGGAAGAAACTGCCGGCGCTGGTCTGAGAACCATGGATCCTCCTTAACGTCATGGGAAGTTTGCAAGATCGAGCTGAAGCGCGCATTTGTCAGCCAACATCAACGAGAGAGAGCCGCATTCTTGATTCTGTCAAGGACACTGCCCCAACGAGAGCGCCACCGCACTCGTGGAGGATGTTTTGCGCTTGATCGAGCGCCCACGCCCACGCCGACCTTGATGCTACAGAAGACAAGAACCTAAGAATCTCATGCCCCTCACGGGAGGGACAACACCTTCGGCAGCCTTGTCCGCAACCCCCAACAACAGTCGAAGTGTTCATATCACCGAGGCTTCCAACATGGAATGTGCACTGCATGCCCGAGCCTGCCACTATGAACAACTTCCCGGCGTCTCGACACTCGAGTTGTCCAGCTACTACTTCGACGCCTGCCTCCCAGGCATCCACGACATCATCCACGACGTTGTCTGGGAGGAGATCAGGAAGCTACTTCCTGCCATCAGTTGCCTGGCTTTTATTTTGATTGCCGAGATTGTTTCGGAACAAGTTTGACAGGTATTTCAACCGAGACTTCTGCGAGCGAAGCGGCATCTGACAAACCAAGGGCAACTTACGCCACAATGGCACGACGACCGCCACCGGCTGCCTCTTAGTATTCAATGCCAATTCAATGAGACACTCTAATGCCGAAGCATTCCCGACATCGTGTGTAGGTTTGTGCTCAACAAAGTACACCGAGGAAAACGTAGGTGATGCGAATGTGCGACCGAAAACCGCTTTGCTTCCACTGCATGAAGCCGACCATGTCTACCAAAGCAGCCCGTACCAATGAATTGGTCTGCGATGGTTCGTGCCAAACGACCCTCGATTACGTCTCGAGGAGCGACCACGGGAGATTAAGGATTACCTTCGGCGACCTTTGTCCCTGATGCCGAATCGAAGATTCTGAATCCCTGATTACCCCGAAGCTCCTCATGTCCATCACCTCAACAAGAGATAAGCACGACAAAGCAGGTGAGCGGCGATGCAGTGACAGTGGATTTGGTGTTGGTGGTCGTCCAAGGACAATACCTAAAAATTTGCTGACATCAATTTTCTGTGTCCACTCCACGAAGCACACAATTTCCAACTTTGAGGGAGAATGCCCCTGAGTGACTTGAAGGAATAGAATGGTTGGTTGCTCTCAAAAGTGAACTGCAAGCATCACCAGACTTGGATAGCAAACAAAAATTGTTGCCAGCTATCAAGTCAACGGTACAGCAAAAGGCACAGCCACGTAAGCAATACATGCCCGAGCTTGCTGCATTGATGCCGAAAACTACCAGGAGAATTTTCGGATTAGAAGCCAGCCCTGCAGCTTCAGTGCATCAGACGTCGGTGGCCGCACATGACGTATGATTACAAGACAGCATCAGTCGGTCAAAGTTGCCACTCGACCAAACTGAACACCGACGTGCCAGGAGCGTCATCCGACAACAAGGTTTACAGGTACTACGACTGAACGCCTGACACGAGACTGTCGCAGAAAGAACTCGTTATGGAACCATTTCCTAAGAATCAATAATTATGTAATCAAGTGGAAATAAACATATTTGATACACTAACCAGATAAACATATTTCCGCTTGCCTTCATGCCTTGAGAGTCTACACACCGAGAATTGTGTCCACTGCACGCTCTGGACCTTACGAGGACACTCGCATCTCTGACCCTTCAATATTAATTAAGGGGTCATACCAGACTGGCAGACTTCTTGCAAGGGGCTGCACTCGTTCAACCTTTCCTGAACATGTGGTGCATCCGAAAACCAACTCCAGAGATGTGAAAATGTTATTTATTAATTTATTCCTTCCAGGGGCCTTCATAGGCATTGCAGAGAGGATACTTAAAACTACACACATGATAATAGCATTAAAGCACACTGCTGTAACTTGTTAAATGGAGAAACAAACACACCTCTGAGCATATAGTTTAATAGTATGTGTTGATGCATTGTTATATAGCATGACACTTCCTATATGTATGACACAATAGACCCTTTGCAGAACCTTATCAAGCAACACAACTGTCACCATTTTTTTCGGCGTAAAGCACACGAATGGGCCCCAGTTCACGTCGAACGCTAATGCAGCATTCGAGTCCAATACGTGCTGAGCCGAATTCACAGGGATGGCGGACATAACATTCTTGTCGAACAAATGCCCAAAGTCTGAAAGCTTGGGGTAATTACAATAGTAGCTACTGTAATTTGTTTCATCAGAATTTGGCAGACGGCAAAGGCTACCGTCTCGGTGAGTCAATACACACATTGGAGAGAGGCACATGACAGCATATCACCAGAGTGCTTGTCTGCACAGATTTGT